AAATGTTTTATTTATGACAAGAATACCACCACTTGGACGCATTGTCTTGGATGCCTGGCCACTTGTACCACCAATGCCTTTCTGTTGCTTAGAAATAACTGACAGAGCCCAACCATATACAAAGGGAGGACAACTAGACAGCCAGTATGGCTATCCAAACTCTTCCAAACTCTTCAAAAAAAAATCCACAAACCAACTTGGCAATATTGTAGAACTCTTACTATACTGAAGGGCAGAACTGTGATCAACTTAGGGGGTATGCAGATAGCGAAAAGCGCCATCTTCAATCCCAGGAAGGGGAGGGGCAGCCAGATGCCGGGTGCCCCAGCCCCTTCCTGAGGACATTATCAGAGCACCAGCCGTTGCACATGGCAGGCACTCTGATGACATCCTTCCAGCTCAGAGTCTGGACACACTGAGCCGGAAGCAGCACAGAAGAGGTGCCCAGCACCTCTTCCGGCACCCCTTTTGACTCCTCTGAAAGGAGCGCTATTTTAGCGCTCCTTTTCAGAGGTGCCATAAGGGTGAATCGGGGCCAAGGCATGGGGTAGCCTTGGTCCCAATCCGCAGCTTCTCAGGGTGGCACACAGCCACCTGTCTGTAGAGGCCCTTAGTTAATACTGGTCATGCTTGGTAATGGTTTGGTCAGCAAGACTTTAGTGGTTTCCATTGTCAAAATAAACCATCTGAATTGTAGAATACAGCCAGCAAAGTTGGCATCACACCATTTCCCATTATAATGAACTGAATAATGAATTGATTTGCTCTCACACAATAATGAAACCTAGTTTTTCTTGTTGCCATGTTCCTTATCTAACTGCCCAGTGATAATATTTTATATTATCTTTCTGTACCAACCTGGAGTGTACTTGCACTGGCTCTCCTGCCAAAGCCTGCAACTTAGGGCTCATCTACACTTGGCAAAATACTCCAAGCCATCCCCAGAGTATTCTGGCCACAAATGCCCCCCAAATTTGCCCCTTACCTTGTGGGTTTTTGGCTGTCTTCACCAGTGACAAGAAGTGGCTGCCTTCCCACACTGTCCCCCTTCATTTCCTGGCACTGCTGCTGAGGATAGAATGAGGCACCTAGCCATGCTATCAATGCTGGTCTCCTTATTCTGACCTCAGAGCAACTCATGCCAACAGCAGCAGCACAGGGTAATGAACAGGGGCTACAAGTGGAAAGACAGACTTCTTTGTTGCTGAAACACCCCCACTCTGAAAACCTGCAGCAAATGGTGAGTTATTTAAATGCAGGTTAGGGGAAAGAAACCCCAAAACTGAAGACAATCCAGACCTAATTCAAGGTTTTGACCCTGCATTGTAGAAGCAAGACAGAATGAGTTGGGGCGAACCTAGGGTAAATCACCCATGTGGACAAGGTCTAAGCAGAACACATCATAGTAGTCAAACAATATTTTTGATCAGGAATGCACCAGGGCACTCCAACTGTAGCCCTGAAAGATCATGCTGCATGAGCAGTGTCCTCAAGACAACATAGACAATGTGGCTGGCCTACACCCAAATGCATGTGCTATTGTTCTACCTTCAGGATTCTTGTATTCCTTAAATTCTAAGTAAGAAAAATTTCCCATATGGACATGTAAGGTTTAGGTTCTTGGTTTTCTGGCAATGACATTCAAGTACTCTCTGCATGGAGTCACCATTTAAAAGTATCAAGTAAATTCAAAGGATTCAAAATACAGATGACAGTATTCTGAGCAAAAAAAAAAAACTGTTTAAAGCAGATGTCTCCTCTATATTAATCTCAGTTTTCATTTGTTTCTTGCCAATATTTCAAGCAGGCAGGGTAAAAATGTAGCCAATATACTACTTTTCTAGCCAAATATTGTGTATCTAACAGTGGCAACTGGTGGGATATGTCAGAGGGGAAGTTAATCCACTCTAGGTTCTAATCTGAACTTTATAGGCTCTGTACAAAGAGCTGAAACTATTTGGAGGGTTGTAGTCAGCATCTCCTTCAAAGTCTGCACTAAAAGCTGAAGCAGGTTCACTACTCTACTAACATTAGGGTCTTCTGTGCCACTGGCACCAAACAGAGTGTACTCTAAGGGCCTAAGCAGACGGGCGGCCGTGGGCCGCCCTGGGAAGGTGCATCGTGGGACCGAGGCATCTCCATGCCTTGATCCAGCGGCGCACTGTCGGCGCCCCTGGAAAGGAGCGCTAAAATAGCGCTCCTTTCATATGTCGCCAAAAGTGCTCCGCAAAACATTGCAGCACACTTTTGGTGACCCTTCCACCGCAGAGTGTCCAGACGCTGTGGTGGGAGGTCCTCCTCGGAGAGCCGGCCGTGCAGAGGGCCGGCGGCTCCGAGGACAACCTTGGGAGGGGGAGGGGGCACCGAGCCTGCGGCTGCCCCTCCCCTTCCCTGCACCAAGGACGGCTTTTTAAGGCGTCTGCCGGGGCCCTAAGTCATCAAAGCTGTGCTGTAATAAATTCATTCTTCATTGAAGGGTTACAAACTCCATATTGTGGTTATTTATTTATAAGACACCCAAAACTCCATAGAAATCTGTGCAAACATCCTTGCATGGTGGCAGGTTGGACTAGACATGGTCCTTTCCAACTCAAAGATTCTGAGAAGATGTCCAAAGAAGGGCAATCAAAATGGCGAAAGGTCTGGAAACCATGGCCCATGAGGAGTGGTTTAGGGAGCTGGGTATGTTTAGCATGGAGAAGAGATGGTTAATGATAGCCATGCCAGCTATTTGAAAGGATGTTATATTTAGAATGAAGAAAGCTTGTTTTCTGCAGCTCCAGACAATAGGACCCAGAGCAATGGATTCAAGCTACAGGAAAAGAGATTCCACCTCAATTTATGAAGAACTTTGACAGGGGAACACACTCCTACTTTGGAGGTTTTTAAACTGAGACTGGGTGACCATCCGTCAGGAGTGCCTTGATTGTGTATTCCTGTATGGCAGTGGGTTGGATGGTATGGCTCTTATGGTCTCTTCTAACTCTATAATCCAATGATTCTATGATTATTCTAAGACCCCCCTCAGACATCTTAGTCTGGCAAAGCTGTTACAAAAAAGCAGACAG